AAGATACCTCCCCTTCCTACCTGTCTGCATCTCAGCTTCACAGTGTAAGAAAAAAGAGGCAATTGTGCAAAATTGCAGACTGTGAAGTTAAAACAGAGGAAAATATTTTTATTGTTGTTATTACTCAAATTCTGTGTAGCTTAATGTCACAAGAGATCACTGAAACTAAGAGCTTAGCAGGATTAGAATAGGACAGTCAGTGTGCTTAGATAGCTAAGTAAGGATACAGTTACAGTAATGAAGTTTAAAAATAAAGAAAAATATCCTCTAGAGCTTTGAAGCAGTTACAAAACTGTCCTACTTCAAAGCAAGGCAGTGTTTAACAAATGAGGGCTCTGCTGCCAGAACTGTACGTTCTGGGTTGCTGGTTTGCTGTGGGAAGTGATGGCAGGGCAGGTGGGCAGCAAGGCAACCGGTGGCTTGTCCCATTCTGGCATGTCCCAGGGGAGCCTTCTCTCCTGCCAGCCCAAAGACTTGTGATTTTGAGCTGCTGGTATGGGCCAGAAGGCACTGGCTGTCAGTGGAAATCTCATCATGCAGGGCAGCTTCCTCAAAGGATCTTCATGAGTTATTCTTCAACCAGGAGTAAAGCAAGGAACATGCGTGCTGCAGGGATTTCAGGCAGAACTGTCTTTTCAGGAATCTGTATGTACTCTGGCAGCTGTAACCTTTCACTGGGAAAACAAATCAAGAATTAAAATATTTTTTTCTATTGCATCTCCTCTGTAAGAGTTGGCCTTAATTATGAACTGAAATACAGCTGTAGGGAATCTTGATGTTTATTTGGGAGCGCGACTCATGGAAGACATGGCACCATGCTGGATTTCTTGCTCTGAAAGTTTGCAGTTGTTTTGGACAGTCAATAATTTAAATGAAGAAGTGTGGTCTTTGTCAGACCATTGAATAAAAATATGCTGTGATGCTATTTAACTATTGATTTAACTGATGATCAGTTTTGGTGCATGAAGTGAAGGGAAAGGTCCAACTTTATGCAGTCGAACAAGGAGAAAAAAAATTAAAAGGAAAGTTGCTAACAGTAAAAGATGTTTCTGGCTGCCTTTCAATTCCAAATTGGACTAATTCTACCTTCTGTGAAGAAGATAATTTCCATGTTTCTGTAATTGGGAACACATAATTGAAGTTATTTTCTCTCAAAGAGAAGAAGCTTCTTCTACAATATTTGCAAATGGACAAGACAAATGACCACATACAGTGTTTTCTGGAGTGACGGTGCATTCATCAAAGCACCATCTTCAGTTGTCTTTGCATATTTTGCACTGTGGCTTTTACCCCTCTGGGTAAATATTTTTATGTGGATGGGGAAGGTTCTCATTGGTGAATGCTCTGGGCAGCCCTTACGTCAGAGACAGCTGATTACCAGTGAGGCCTGGAGTAGAAAACAAGTGCCAGGGAAGCGCTGAAACAAGTATCAACTTTGTGTACCAAAATAGTTATACAGTGATTCCACGTGACTGCTTCTTTTGACCTGGCTTTTCAGGAACTGAACTTTAATGAGGAAGATGAACCAGATGTTGTTGCAGTGCTTTGATAGTGGCACAAGCGATTAGCTCACTTCCTTTGTAGCATGAAGATATTTTCTGCCACAGAGTTTAACCCTGGGAGTGCTGGCATTTTCCTTAATATCCTGTTAACTATGTGTGCAGGACAGTGTTTATTCAGGAATGCTTTTGCATCTGCATGTGCAACCGCAGTCCTCTTCCCGAGGTTGCTCCTGCAATCTTCTCTTCCCTGAGGTTGCTTGGTATTTGATGGCAGTAGCAGAGGAGGGACTCAGGTGCTTGTGCTTCCAAAGCATAGTCCCTCCTGTCAGCTTTTTGCTGACCAAGGCTCTTTTCCATTTTCCTGGGTCAGTTTATCATCCCTGATGTTTCTGTGATTAGCCAGACAGAGTGGTGCTCAGGGAATTTGTTGCAATTCAGTGTAGACCCCATCTTTGAGATGTGTCTAGCTAAGGAAGTGGATATTTGCGTGCATTGAGACATCATGGAGAAAAGAGAACACATGAAGGTAACTGTGGTAGATAAGACAGCAAATTGTATTTCTAGACAGCCTTGATCATTGTACAGATCAGGAGAAAATAGAGGAAGTTTAATATAAACAACAACACCACAACTCTGTTTTATAAGGAAAGCCAGTGTTATATTTTTACCCTGACCTAACAAAGGAGGAGGAAGGAAACTGTTTTGCTGAAACAAGAATTTTAGATTGGACTAAAGATACACTTTTCTCTCTATGTTTGTGTGCGTGCATGTCCCAGCAAACTCAACAGCACGTTCATATGCATGAAATGCATTTTCCTGGAGGCACATAGTCAGCATGTGCCATGCAAGGAGGAAAAATATGTGCCTAGCACTACTTAAATGCTGGTCAAAAAGGCATGGCATTTTAGTCTAAATAAGTTAAAGTGTCTCATAACATTGTGGTTGGTATTTGTTATTTTAGCTGACATTGACTACTGGATAAGAAATCTGCCTAGTTTGGAAATGTGCAATGTGGATAAAACACGAGAGTGGCCTATTTATTGTGTATGTGAGGCAGTGTGGCCTCCAAAACCAGAGAGAGCAAATGGGGGAAATACAGGGATGGGGGGCATCATCAGCTTCGGGCTGTACTGTCTTCTTCATGCAAAGTCTAGGAAAGGAGTCTCTGCTGATGGGATGGCAATGGTCATTCTTTTCTGCATGGAAACTGAAATAGGTACAATACCTGGAATAATACTTTGAGAAGCTCAGTAGTCAGATTGATTTCTTAGGCTAATAAATCCTTGGCTGGACTTGCTCTGTTAAAATATATGTTCAGACGAGATTCATGATCAGCTCTTAGGAACAAGAGAGCAAAGGGAAAAAATACGTTGTTCCAAGATTAAATGCTTTACATTTGACACCTTTAATTGGCTTATTAATAAACCTTTTTTTTAGGGTTATGCTATTTATTATTCTAATGAAGCAGTTGTAAACTAGACTTCAAAAAAAAGCCACAAAGCACTGGCAAAGGGAGTCTGAGTGTTCTGGGTCAAATACCTGGCTCTGAAACTTCTAATCATATGAATGGCCTTATCCCCACCAAAATTATGTATCCCAGAGATGGCACTTACATGACTTAGAAAGCAAATGTAATTCCTGTGCACCATACTGCCTGCCTCTCCACATGAAAAAGTAAGTTTTGGTAACCCAAACATATCAGCGTGGTTGCATTTGTGCAATGAAGTTTATTGCTCTGTGTGTGGACATTCAGGATTTTCAGATGTTCAACAGCTTCCTCAGAACAACTGCTAGGCAACTAGAATTCCTAGAGAAATGCACAAAATCCTTAAATATTGTTCAGAAAAAAAATCATAAGCAAAAAAAGGAAACATCTGTGGGAAAACCTGAATGTATGGTAGGTCCAATCTGTATTCTCAGTCAGGGAGTCTGCATGTATGGCAAACAGACCTCACACAACCCTTCATGAAAATTCATCCAGCCTGGGGCTTATTCCAGGTACACTTTTTTTCCCAGGGGACTGTGCCACCCCTTGTGCACTTCTGCTATTCCACTACAGAGCAGTTGTCGGGCAGGCAGCAGGTTCAACTTCTGCATCGTGTGTGCACAGCAAATCCAGCCCTTCCAGGGAGCACAGGCATGTGCTTATGGGCTCAGTGCCTATGAGGAAGATCAGGCCAACAAGTGAGGAGGGTGATGGTGTACAACTTAGCATGGACCTGGAAAATAAGTATGGTTAGGAACATGCAAGAGTCTGGTTTCTGGGAGTGGATGATTGAAGTATTATTGCTAAGCGCTGTTCTGAGACCTTCTCTACATTGATTGATGTCTCATTTGAAATCTCCTTCTTGCCTGAAAGAAAAAAACGTCAAAGCATTTAGTTAATTCTCTTGCAGTGCAGTGCTTTAAACCTGCTGTTCTTTGTTGAACATCACTGGCTCAATAAAGATTCATCATGTCAGGTGTAGTCTCTGTAAGCCAGATAGAAGTGGCCAGTGTATTGTTTCCTCAGTGATTTTACATTTTATTGCCATGTAAGTAGGTATGGAGCATAGAAAAATGCTTCCTTGTTTCATATCAAAAGTCCAATCTGTGATGAAGGCAACAATTAATCAATGAAATCACTTGCTTTACTGAAATGCTGTGTTTCATAAATAAGTTAGTTTTCATATGCAAGTCTTTCAAGAAAGCAGTGCACACAAGGAAAGCTGGTGTCAGCATTTTTAATCCTGAAATGACCAAGTTTCTTATTATGGGCACTAAACTTAGCTTCTTCTAAGAAACTTCTAGGCATAAGACTAAGTCTGTGCTTCTCAAAATATGCCCATAATTCTGGTGTTTTCCAGGGAGAAGATGCTCTGAAACAGACTGCAAATACTGTATGCAGCTGTTAGCATATGAAGGCCAAGAGAACCCAGTTTCTATGTCCATACTAAAATATTTGTATCCCTAATACTAAAAATCTGTGGACCAGCTCCTGATCTCACTAATGTTAATAGTAGGATTTCTGTCAAAACAAACAAGAAGAGAACATAACTAGCATCTTTGGAATATCTGTTTCTGTCCATATACTCTACCACTGTAGGAATGATTGTTCTAGCGTCTTTTATGTTGAGTTGTTAAGTGATGAAAGCTTTTATTAAGTCCAAACTTAAATACTTCCAAAGCCTTTTTTAGTGTTGGAAAGGTTTGTATCAAGTTATCCTTGAAATAATTTTCTTCTTTATTTATTATTGTGTGCTACCCAGTAGACGCCTAATTATAAGGCAGAGAATACTTCTCATTCTAGGAGGTTATGTAGCACTTCACTGGATGTTTTTCAGAGTCCATTTTCATTATGTTGAGATGTTTACTTGCTTGAATCCCTTAGGTTTTAAAAAAAAACAAAAACAAGACAAAGAATGAAGTTCAACACTGAACAGCCAATAGACCCTCTTACTGTGTGTGAATGCTTTTATATCACATCACATCACATCACGGACTGTCCTTTTTTTCCAGAGTGGATATCCAAGCTCTGGACCTGCATCAAGCACTCCTTCCTTCAGGCCTGAGGATGAGCTGGAACATCTGACCAAGAAAATGCTGTATGACATGGAGAATCCTCCCTCTGATGACTACTTTGGTGAGCCATGTCACAAGTGTCTGTAGCTCTCTTCCGTATTTAGCGGGTGCAGTGACGGGGAGGCCTCTGGCAGCTGCACTGGTAACGTAGTGACACTCGTATTGATGGATGTGCTTTCCACGCTTGGGCTGGAAGTGTAATCAGCCATAGGAATTCCTCTGTAATTTCAGCATAAATCTCATGCTCACTCACTGTATGTTTGTAATCTTTCTGGTTTTAAAGTTGAATTTTTCAGTGTCTGGTTCATTTTCATACCATCTGTCCCCAGATTCTTGGCTACCTGTCTGAACTCAGGTGTGGTGTGCTGTCTTGCCTGCCTGCCCCATTGCTCCCTTCTCATTGCAGCTGTGAAAAACCTGGAAGTGTAAATGTGTTCTGCTTCTAAGGCATGGATTTTCATTTTCTGTGTGCTGGCACAGATAAAAAGGAAATCCAGTGTGAGTCAATCAGGGTGGTTATACATGGGGACCTGTTAGCCCAGAACTGGGTCTAACGAGCACAAGGAAGACAAATCTGAACTGATTCACTTATAACCTTATCATCTTCCTTGCCTGGAAAAAGATAATTGTCTAATTTCCTTTTTAAGTGATGTAGAACAGAATTATCTTAGGCAGCTGTAGGTATAGAATGTATATCTTGCCTTTATATGAAACATAGGTGATATGGGGGCTGAACTCTGCACTGAAGTCTAGAGTCTTGGGCACATTTGATGCATCTGCCTGTATGTTTAGTTTCTTACAGGCTTGGGTAATAGTGTTGTTAGGAAACAAACTGCTACAGTTTGTAAAGTTAAATACTGGGGCAAGCCATTCATTTTGTGTTCTTTATCTTCCTTTATTTCATAATTTCTTAAAAATTTCATTTAGATTGCTCCCTAGCTCTATTTGCTATAGAGTTTGAATGGACCAGAACATTTCTGGCTTAAAGAAACTTTTGTGGTCAGGTGTAATCCAAAAGCAGGTGGGACCAAGGTTTAACTGATAAACGAGGATCTTGCAGTGGCAAGAATCTGATAACACGAGCAGGTTAAGATGTTCTCATCAAACAAACATCGCTCTTGTAGATGGAGTTGATATCAGTCCCCATTGTCCATCAGTGCCTTCTACCTTCTGTGGTTTCCACCCTCACAACCAAAATGTCTTCTCTGTCAACAGTAGTAGTCATCAGAGTTGATGACTATCACTGATCTGAGGTGTAAGCAGGAAAGACTAATTGAATAGAGAATAGCCAGAGAGCATTTTCTGTGTTGATGAGTTTGACTTCATCTCTGCCCATAGCCATTTGGGTTCACTCTCTGATGTTTTAAACACGAAGCAACAACCAGATAAACATAACATTTAGCTATTAACTGGGCAGGCAGGAGGGAGAAACTTCTTTCCTGCTCCTTTTAGGCAAACGGCTGAAGCCCTGAAGCATGAGATTTGATTATAGTAATTTTCTTAATGCAGAACTGTGTGGCAGGAGTTGGTAGATGGACTAGAGCCCATCCAGTTTTTGTTTTAGCCCAGGAAGGTAGGCAGATGAACAAAGAACTTGGAGATGCACAGGCTTCAAGGTCAGAAAGGACCTTTCCATTATACTGCCTAATGTCTTACTCTCAGTTTGTCCCAGAAACATGATTGAATCATGACTTAAAAAAAAATAAAAATCTAATCTTATCTTAAAGACTTCAAGCAATGGTGAGTCAACCACCTACCCTGATAAGCTGTTCTAGTGATTAATTTTCCTCACTGCTTGGAAATTGCTTCCTGAAGTGAAGCTTTAGTTTTGTTTAGCACTTGTATTTATGAAGCTGAAAAGCTCGGATTTTGCAGACTAATACTGTGTGCCTAAGATGGCTCTGCTCTGTTTGAGAGGGTGGTACATCAAAGTTTCTTCATCCAAAAGGGAAGCATAGCTCAAACGGTTGGAACATAAAGTCTCTCAATGTGAGGTCATCGATTTGGCTATCAGATGAGAGGTCAGAACAATGCCATGCCAATAGCTCTTAATTCAGCAGGAGACAACAAAATGGAAAGGAGGCTTCAGAGCATTCACAAGTTTTGCCAGTGTTTAAGTGGTGGCATGATCAAAGATGGAATAATCATTCATGATGCAAGGTGGAAGATGCAAATCAAACAACCTTAGTCCTGCCTTGGGCAGGTGATGTGTAATTACCAACTGCACCTGATTGCTTTTCTAACTGCACTGAGTGTATGCTACTGAAGTTCATCTCTGAAGCAGTATCCAGCCTCGACATTCCTGATGTGCAGAAGAACCATGTGTTGGGCTGATCATTTCCCCAGCTTTCTAAGCATGCTATGCCCCACACAGCCATTTAGGAGCATTATCTATCTAACAAGATACATAATGCTGGACCACAACTGCTTTTTATGGTTGGATACCATCAAAGTGGTAGGCTGCTGTCATCCTCCTAGGTTTGTTCCAGCCCAAGCTCCTCCCTGGGGGAAGATGGTCACAGTAGATGAAGCCCTTTGATATGGCAGTGCAGGCCGGGAGTTCTGTACTAATTCTGGCTGTGTCAGAACTCAATACCCATCTCTACTCGAGCTGTCAGCCAGTGCCTTTCAGTAACTTCGTGCTCATGTGGAAAGAACAAATTAAGTGTGGGAGGGAAAAAAGAGTCTTTCAACTTTGGTTAACTGTCTCAAACAATATCCCTGCCCTTGTGCTGTATTTGTTTAGCATGGTAGTGTGGACTGTACAGGATTCATATGGCACATTGATCAAATAATCAGAAAAAGGACAAATGGGCAGAGACATTGACTCTGATTTGCATTAAATATCTTATGCCTGAGGTCTAACTGCCATGGTAATTGTAGCATACCAGATAGCTGTCAGCTAATCACTTTTATTAGTTTGAATTTAGAAAACTGGATTTCAGCATATTAAAAGTTGGTTAAGTGCAGATAGGTTTTGAATTGAGGAATCTAATTAACCTTGCTAGAAAGCTGCAAGGCGTTATATTAAGTCATAAAAATAATTTGTTGGAATAATTACATTTGAACTGTCAGGCTGGAGAAAGGTCATTTTACTTGGCCCGTCAGCACTCTGGAATCTTTTTCTTAACCGTTTTCCTTCTGCGTTTTCACTTGCTGTATCTCTGGTTTTCAGTCAAGCCATCTTGATTCTGGAGTCAGCAGAATCTGCCCAGCAGTGGGCAGAGTGGAGGTTCCTTGGGAGGGAAGAGGACTAGGAGTCACTGAAGTTGTTTCTTTGCCCTGGAAATGCTGGCTGGTCCTGCTGGCAGACCAAGTGAGCTGAGCTCAGGAGCAGGACAGCCAGCGCTTCCATCCAGTCTGTGCTCACTGCACCTCTCTGCAGCTTCCCTGGGTACAAATTACTGAAGGTGGTTTCAAGGGTGGGGGGAACTGCTCTAGGCAACTGTTGTTCATGGAAATACACACAGCTGGCAGCATGGCATGGATCACACTGCCTTCCCAGGGAGCTGGGGCACATGGTGGGAGCCAGAAGCAGCATGCTGGAGACACACTTCAGAGCAGCAAGATCACAGTTGACAGCTCTGTTGCTTAGGCTTGTCGCAGCAGCACAATCCAGCCACCGGGAAATACTCTAGCTGCCATTGGCAAGGCAGTGCTTAAGCATGGAGGTATCATCACTAAGCATAATAATTAAAAAAAAATCACTGTACGTTTTTAGGAGTTAAACATTCATGTTGCGTATTCTACCTAACCTGATTTTGTTAAGGCCAGACTACTATAGTAAGTCTAAGCACCCCAGTCCTTGATGTATGTCCCCCCCTACCCTCCTGTAGATTCTGGAGTGACTTATGGAGTGACTTCTCCTGGGAAGTCCTTGGCAGATCAGCAGATTGAAGTCTTTTAAGTCTAAGCTGCTCTTCTTTCTTTACTGCTGATTCAGTTGCTGATCTGTGGTAGTTGGCTGTCTTTAATCAAATCCCTTTTTATTAGAAAGGATTCCCAAATGTGTTATGCACTCTGCAGGAGGGATAGTTTCTCTCTATCACAGCCCTCCCTGTTGATAAATGTGCTATTGTAGACAGGCATGTCTGATTTGTTGAAAAAGATAATACTTTGTGGAGTGGAAATTGGTTAAGGTTGAGAGAGGAGAAATGGATACTTACAGGAGATTAGAATGAAACTATCAGAATTGTTTGTTTGCCGCCATGGGAAATTACAGCCCTTGATTTTGCATTTAAAAAAACCCTGACAAAATACACACACACAAAGATCACAACTGTTCTGGACCACTGTTTCAAGTCTCACAGAAAGAAATGACTTCTGGCAGCTTATCAGTCTCTATCACCATGTAGACAGTGTTGATTAAGACTGGAAAAGTGCCATCGGGGCCCCTCATCTCCTGTTGCCTTCTGGACTATATCCCAGCTGAGTCACTCCTCACAGCAGAGTTTCCCTGGCTGGTAGGAACAAACTCTCACTAGTATTTTACCATAGCTCAGAGCTACCAAAGGAACTACCAGTTTTATGTATTGAATAATATAGCAGTCTCCTTTTGTAGTTCCAGTGTGCTGTAGGAATGCACATGGGGAGAAGAGATGTGCTGAAGTGGTCCTGTTCGAAATACTCAGTTTGTGCAGTAAAGAGACCTTGATTTATCTCAGAGATGATAATTCAGGATATGTGGTTTTCTTATGTGTATTTTCTGTATTCCCAGACTTTGACAAGGGGAGAGATGGTGCAGTGTTGGGCTGAGGAGCAAGGCCAACAAGCAGAATGCTTGACTTCCTTTTCTGCTCCTCATCTTGACCTCTTGTGAGACCTGTGGCAGATCATTTTACCTTTCTAAACTTAATTTTTTCCCTTTTCACCCAGTTTTCAGGAGGTGGTTAACAACAGCAATTGTATGAGTGCCTCCCATTGAGAAGTCTTTGTCTCCAATGGTTCTTTGAGATGCCATGTCACAGTTAAGATTAAACAATGATATATGGCACCATATTGAATCTCTCAGGGCTCTGTCAGCCTTTCCTGTCAGTGGCTTTGTGTCTCCATTAGGCTTCC